TGGTGATAGTCTGGCTATGCCAAAGAAAGACAGGAGGCAATTGATATCATTTTAGTCAGGCCATAACTTTATTATTGGACTAACAGACTTACCTGGTGTTGCCCAGGCCCTTCAGTGCAGGGGGCTAGCTGTGTGGTGGGGATAGGGGACAGGGCCTTGGGGATGTGTGTGAGAGGGAGTGCAGGAGGCTGGGGGTAGGTGAGAGTTGGGGGGTAAAGAGGTAATCGGGGTGGGGGAATCCCATCCAGTAAGGATTTTTTTTCTCCCCCTAGGCTCTCCCCCGATCAGCAGCAGCTTTTCTCCCCTTCGGCACTGCGGCCAAGGACCGGAAGCGGGGAAAGGGTTTGGGCCAGGGAGGCTTTTTACCGGTGTGCTGGCAGGCAAGATGGCAGAGCCCCTGCTAGCCACTCCCTTGGTGGTATGGCTGCCCCCAGTGGACACTCTGCAGGATAGCTCTCCCCTGCAGGCTTGCTGTCCCCAGTGGCCACACTCATATCGTGTTACTTGGAACAGCAGCCCCTCCCTTTGCATGTTATGGAAAACAGTCCCTTTCCCAGAGCTTCCAGTTGTCCTAGTACAACCAAACACTCACTTTGCTTTAAGTTAGGAGAAGAGGAAGCTGCCTACCAAATTTGGCCCCAGGTCTTACCGATTAGGAGGAGTTCTTGAACAAATGGATTCGCAGATAGACAGACAGATGCACACTCTATATATAAAATACAGTATACAGTGCAAGCGACCCCCAACACCGTTTTCCCATCTTTTACCAGCTCCTTCCCATTTCCATTCATGTCCTTCCAGCAGAGCTACTGCTGCAACCTTATCAAACCCTTCCCCTGTAGCAGGGTGAAGGTGGGCTATAATAATGAAGGTTGGCTCTCTGCTGTACCAATCATAGGAGTCCCCAGCTACCCCAAGCTCACTCAGTTATTAACCACCTCTCCTCAAGACCTTTCCCAGCCCATTTATCCATTACTATACACCTTATTTTATGAAGTACATGCATTAGACACCCACTATACACATTGTTACGACATATGGCCACCCATCATGTCATGCATGAACAGAGCCTGCCTGAGCCTGCAAGGAAGACAAAAAACTCACAGCTGCACCGAGGCCAATATAGTGGCAAAGAAAAAATTTCTGCCCAGCCCCCCTCAACATGGCAACTGGTGAAATGCCCAGTGCAGATATAGTCAATAACCTGGTATATTTGTCACCTGAATAAAGAGGGAGGGTGGGGGAAGAATGCCTCGTGTGAAGAAGAAAGGGTCAAGGCACAGGCTGATCTTTTTTTAAACCCCTCATTCCTGGCTGGCGAGTCAGCCACTACGCTGACCTCCCCCCCCGCCTTTTTTAGCAGTTTTTTACATCTCCAGTCTTCCCTCCAAGCCATAAAACACTGTTCTTCTCTCATGGCCAGCCAACCAAATACCCCGCTTCTCCCTGCTCAAAGTGTGGGGCGGCGAGTTTATGTTAATTTCATAAAGAAAACAAGATGGAGCAATTTATTCCATTCTCAGTTTTGTGGTGTGTTGCATTCCGTGGGTTCAACAACTCTTGGTTTTGAAACCCAAAGTTCTCAAATTCTTTGGAAAAAGATTGCTCCCATGTAGTCAATGAAGCGAAGTTTTTAATGTTCCATAGGAGCCGAGGTACCTCTGTTTCATGGTACAAATTTAAATGTACTTCTGTTAAGTATCTTAACCTAATCGGTGTCACTTTAGACACTTTAAAGATTTGAATGTGTATCTGGTCAGTCCTTGGTTGCTAGCAGAGAAATTGTCTACATAAAAGAATATTTTGCCTAAGTAAACTTTCCAAGATCCTTAGAGCCTCTGATAATGGATAACATCTTTATATATGTACTGTGTATCCTGTTATATCTTATTGAACACACATTCATGATTTGTAATATAAATATACTTATTACTAATATAGAAAAATGCTAACATTCCTGTAATAAAATGATGTGCTTGGAATGAGTGGCATGGAAGGAGGAGGCGAATATTCTTGAATCTCTTTACATCTAGATCTGGATTTAAGGTCTAGTTTAAGTGCATAGTGAATAAAAGTTGGTGGGGTTAGATTTTCCTTAGTTCCCAGAATCCGGAATTGGGGCCATGTTTTCATGAGAGCTCTGTCCCCATGTAAACACCTAAATGAAGTGGACAGATTTTTCAGAAGTGCTCAGCACCCAACTGGCCACTTAGGCCTTTTCTTTACCAGGAAAAAAGATGTTTTTGAATTTGCTAACTCAGGTAAAGTAATTCAAGCTAAAATCTTAGTTCACACAAGGCAGTTTGCAGCTTTTACCCACATTACCAAGTAAAGTTAAAAACTAGGCTCTCCTGTAGTCTTCAACTCAGTCTGTTATAAGAAAACTTAGTTGTTAACTGATTGCTAGGCTAAATTTTCTAAAGAGCTCAGTAGCTTATTTCTGGCCCTCAGTGCACCTCATAAGAGGTGCACACACATCTTGTGGAGTTAGATGCAAGATGTCCTGGCCTAACCAATCTTTCTAAATGCCTGGATTTCACTAAATTGTCAAATGTGGTTGTACCATAAAACAGCAAACGTGTCTGTAAATGTGTAAGCCGAGTCTTAGGATGGCAGGCAAGTATGTTTTTATACATAAAATGGGGGAGTGTCATACAACACTCTCACTCGCATCGCTCACGGACTTCAGTTGTTGCTGCTCCTGCTCAAAAATTCTGATGGTTGGGTCCAGCATCTTCAGATTCTCATGATTCTAAAATATTTCACTTGTTCTGTGTCTGTTGGGGGCGGGGTCAAAAGTAAATAGAAGAACATAGGAACAGGCAGGGCATGTAGCCATGCAGTGAGGGGTGAGAAGAAAGGTATGGCTTGCCAGGAAGCTTTGACTCGAAGCTTGGGACCTTCATTGTACAGTAAAACTCCAATAGTCCGGCACTCCTGATAGTCCAGCATCAAAATGGCAAGAGCCTAGTGAGTGAGCTTCGGCAAAAAAAGAGTCACAAGGTAGCAGCAGCAGCTGAACTGAGCGAAAAGGGTAAAAAAGGCTTAAAAAAACCTAAAACATTACAGTATACTGTATACAGTATGTACAATAAAAAGGGTTAAGAACACTTTATATACAGTATATAATGTGTACAGTATATATATAACTTGCTTATAGTACCTCCTGATAGTCCGGCATATCTGATAATCCGGCACCACCTAAATCCCATAGGTTCCGGATTATCGGAAGTCTACTGTACTTCGATCCAAGCCTCATTCCTCTTGCAGCGTTAGCCTTTCCTTTTAAACCTGCTTGCTCATTTACACAAACACCAGTAAAATGATATTATCAAGACCGGTGAAGAAGGAGACTTCCGTAAAAGAATTAGAGAACAATTAGATGCCTGGGGGAGAGATTCCTTAGCCCACCATCTTGCTGGCCTAAGGGATATTAGAAATTGTGCTGTCTGTGTTCCAGACTATGCCTGGGATTTTCCTCATTCCAAAACAAAGTTATTTCTGCTCAGCCCGTAGTATGTAGAACCTTTGCCGCAAATTATTTTTGCTACTTTACATCGTGCCTGTAAGGCTGAGAATCTCAATCACAATGTCCAAATGCTAAATTTCATTATCAAAATGACAAGGCCAGTGTGCACGCAGACTGCGCAGAAATAACCAAAGGGGTGACTTCATAGTTTGACTTTGCCTAAATCAATCTTAGTCACTAGTGTTGTGAAATAAGAGAGTTCCATGCACACACTTGCACCACAGTGGGTACATTGGCTTTTTCAGGAAACAGATTTAGTTAAATCAGGGCAAGTTGGCATATAGATCAGCACTTGCTTTCCAATATTTTCTAGAGGTAAGCAGCTGGTAATTGAAGGCAACTGATTGGTGTGCCCAGTCTTTTGGCCTTGTGAATGGTTGACACTGAAGTACTGCCTTCCCCTTAATTATTAATGTAGGTATGTGCCTGGAGCAAATTATTCTTTCTGAAGGAATTTCTGTGGGAGTTACTTATATGGGTTTCTTTTTCATTGATGTGTGTTATAGATTCTCGACAGTATATGGGTAACTTGCATACCATAGACTTGTGGGATTCCAGGTAGGAAATGGGCCATATTTGTGTCCCTGCTTCTCCAGAATAATTCTTGAGCAGCCTAGGTCCAAAACATAAGCAGGTATTGTGCCAGGAATTGTGTAAAATGCTGTAAAATAAAGCAGATATACACAGAAGGAAACCTACTCTTTTACCCATACTTAGTATGTTTATTCAGCTGGCAATTTGTGCAGCTTCATATTCGTTGACCTAGAAATAGCCATCATTTTAATGCACTCTTGGAAGGGAAAAAAGGTGTTATAGAAGAGATCTGCCACATCAAAGCCTCTCTGCAGCTTGTAAAATGGTATCCACCACTCCCCTTCTCAACTCCATTGTAACACTCAGCACTTTTTTTCTATCTAAAGAAAGTTTGGCCTTTTATTAAGAAATGTCTGTAGAGTTTTATTTATAGTAAAATGATAAAAGCAACACAAACGATTTGAAAAGATCGGCACTGTTTAAACAAGAGTCTACAATAAATGTAATGTGGGTTCGGCATGTCTATATAGCAGAAGTTACCCTGTGATTCAACTGTTGCCATATAGTACAATATGTATCCATTTAAGTAAGTGTTAGAGTGAAATCCCGTGTAAATAGCTAGAACAAATTTAGAACTGCATACTTGTCAACTGACCTATATTTTATGGGTCATATCTGTTGTTCCGAAGCCTGACTTTGGAATCAGTGAAATTAAACACTTGGCCGACAGTGGTTGTACGGAAAAGTTTTGTAGCTGCTGAGGATGTCATGGAATCGGTATAATAATACTCTTCCCCTTTCCAGGCCTGAAAGTGGTAAGAATGGGTAACAGAAAGACAAATCACAAGTAGTTTGGTTTTAATCTTGTTAACACAATGCTTTACAAATGTTTTAAAATGTACAATGTCTAAACTTCTCTTTCTGTGACTCTTTTCAGCACAAGCACACCTTATTGCTGTGTGGATCTTTACTCTCTGCGAACAGGAGAGATGGTCAAATCTATACAGTTCAAAACTCCTATTTATGATCTACATTGCAACAAAAGGTAGAAACTTTCCTTTGCTCTCTGTATGTTATTTTATTTTTTGCTACATAGAAAATTCTAAGTAACATACATTGTTTTATCCAGTGACTGGCTTTAGGATTTAAAAATATCATGCAGGCTGCTCAATTCTGCCAAAAGTTAGAGCTTGGCAGTTCCACTTTTCAAGGAATATTTAGACTTAAAATAGGACAATAATACTTCCATGGAGCCTTTCATATGGCCATCTGAAAACACTTTACAGATATGAATCGATCAAGGATCCCGGTGCCTTAGTGTGTAGGAGTGTCCAGTATCCTCATTTTCCTCTTCACAGATTAGGAGTCTGATGCACAATACTGTTAAATCAGTTAACATCTGTAAGTCAGTGTCTGAGTTGGCAGTAGCTGTGTGTCTTGAAACCCATTTGACCTGCTCTAACCACTAAAACATGCTCTCTCTCTATACATAGAATATATACGAAGACCTCATTTGCATTTTGAGTAGTATAAATAATAATTCTACTCCTCTATATTAGAAGGTGGGAATTGGATAAAGTATTTCTTTTTTAATCTGGAGTAACAACACTTTGCATACCTAAATTCAGAAAGAGGATAGCTTAGAAATATCGGGTCTGAAATACCACATCTGGAACTACAGGTTCAAATCCTTTTGGGTTTAAATCAGTCCTTCACATATCTGAGGTAGATATAACTGAATATCCTCCACTGTCTGTTTTTAGCCAAAAGACACAAGAAATCCAGGCTCTGTCTGTCTGTCTGTCTCCATGAGGATAGAAAAGATCCCTTGGTACTTTACTAAGAGAGTTTTGCTTTGATGGCTTTGACAGAAATTTCCTTTTTCCTATCAGGACTATTCTACTGCCAGCATGAATGGCTACTTCCCTCTACGTTATTATTATTATTTACTGCTAATGCTTTTTTACAGCACTCTTATCTTTATATTTCAAGGTACTTTATACAGGAAGGAACAGTGCCATTCCATGTTACAAACAGAAAAAAACTCAGGCTGATAGAAATTGGTGCTAGAAGTATAGCTTGTTGATGTACTCTGGGATCCTTCAAGATGGAAGGTGCTATTGAAATGTAAAATGCAATTTATTAAGAAATGTTTTAATATATATCTTGCAGGGCGCTGATGTCAGCACTACTTTAAACAGCCTGTTAATGGGGTGTGCTGCAAAGTGAAAATTGAGAGAGTTAAGATGAGCAGGTGGCAACAATCAGATTTATTTTGGATACTGTGTAAAGAAATAAATGGCAGGCTTGAATAAGTGAGTTTTAGGGGGAGAGAGAATAGCTCACTACATTGAGGAGAGAGGAGGAAGAAATTATAAAAGTTGTAAAAGGGTGGAGAGTTTATAGGCCACTAAAATTTTTATTTATTAAAACACACTTCTCTAGCAGGGCACCATAGCTTAGAATACCAATGTCTAAATTTGTTCAAAGATGAATAGTTGAAGGGAACAATTGAACAAACGAGTAGTTTTTATAACACAACATAATATAATTTGATGCTAAAGTAGAGTTGAGGACTAAATAGTATGATAATATTAACTATCCACAATCAAATTTTGTTAGCATGACAGTATCAAACAACTGAGTTGAACTGAAGAAGTTAAACCGAAGGATATAAAAGGACAATTTCTCAAAATAGGTCATTGTTCCTTTAACAGTCTGTCAGAAAGACTTCGGTATGTATCTGTGCAACTGTCTCTTTAAAAATTTAGCGTTCCCTGGTGGACAGTGTGAGGATAGTAAATCTTTCCAGTCTAGCCTTTTTTTAACAGAAGAAAAATCCAATTGTAAAAACAGTCAAAAGGCAAACCATCATTCAAAGTCTCCCAGCTAAAAAATACTCTCTCCAGGTGCTAATGTTTCTTTTTTCTAAGTGGTGAAAATGGAAAAGCTCCTTCAAAGTTGTGGGGCTGTATCAAAGGTAGCTGTTTTCCTGGAACATTTCAGATTCTATTATCATCCAAGGAAAGTTCACTATTTCAGACTGCAAATGCATGAAAAATGGCCAATTAAAGCACTACTGCGGCTTTACCTATACCATAGACTAATGCAGTGCAAAATTGAAGTTTAAAATACATTTTGAATTGTAGAATAACAGAAAAGTATTTTATTATTAATACATTTACATTCCTAAACCATCCACAATCTGTTAGGCACTCTCTATACAGGAAAACAGTCTCTGCCTCTAAGCATAGAAGACAGGAAGTATGGGAAGGATTGGGGAGAGTGTTGTGAGCAAAACAAATACACTTTTGATATACATTGCATTTAAAAAAACCCTCCATAGTTGACTGCCCTTCATCTTGTCCAGTATTAATTGCCTAATTTCTTAGGCTATATACATTGCATTTAAAAAAAACCTCCATAGTCAACTGCCCTTCATCTTGTCCAGTATTAATTGCCTAATTTCTTAGGCCATGTCCACACAACAGAGAAGATCAAAGCAGCCACAGTCAATCTTCTGGGGTTCGAATTAGCAGGGGCAGTGAAGACCCCTAATTCAAACTGAGAGGGTGTTGCCGTCAATGCCAGGAGTCCTGCTTCCACAAGGAGTAAGGGAAGTCAAAGGTAGAATGTTCTCCCGTCGACTTCCTGCAGTTTGGATGGTGCCAAAATTTGAGTTAAGATGTGTCAACTTAAGCTGCAAAATTAACATAGCTGAAGTTGTGTATCTTAACTTGACCTTATCCCCTAGTGTAGACTAGGGGTCGGAGACCTCCTGGAAGAAGGTACTTAAAACAGATACATTTCCTTTGTGTTTTCCTTTCCTGTGATTAAAAAAATGAATTCCAACTTTTTCCAAATAAAAATAGTTGACCTGTCATGGGGTCTCCTGGTACTTGGGGCACCCCTAGTCATTCCCCGTGGGGTACAGCCCCTAAAGTCAGGGCTGGCTCAGCCTTTCAGGCTTTCTGTCATGGGGTTTCCTGGTATCTGGGGCACCCCTAGTCATTTCCCGTGGGGTACAGCCCCTAAAGTAAGGGCTGGCTCAGCCTTTGCACCCAAATCAGATTCACCCCCTATCAGGGTCAGTACGGCCTCTTGGGCCTAGTCGCTAGCCCATTGCACCCCTGTTAGGGTCAATACAGCCTCTGCAGACTAGTCCCATACCTAGTCCACCCCATATTAGGGTCAGTACAGCCTCTCAGGCCTAGTAACAAGGCTAGTGCACCCCTAGTAGGGTAATTATGGCCCCTAGGGCCTCGTCACAAACATAGCTCTATTCCCTCAGGTTGGAGACAGTTTTCCGGCTTGGTTCGCGGGTAAGCTCCCCCCAAAATCTAGGGAGCTAGGTTACGGTGGGGTGGGGGTGGTACGGGGACTCCGGCCCTCCCATTCTACCACGCCCCGGCTCAGGGCCCTGTTGGCAGCGAATGCTCTCACTGCCTGCTCAGCGGGAAGACCTGCCAGAACATGCTGAGCTCCCAGAGGACAATCCTCCACCCTGAGCCACTTCCTACCCGTACCGGCGTGCCGTGCTGTCCTCTGCGTGTGGCTCTGGCAGTCAGTCCCAGTCTGGCAACTGCCTTGCTCGGTGTTGTTGCTGCAGCTGCTGTGGTGGCTGGTGCTGTTCCGGGGTGGCTGCTCCAGGGGTGGCTGCAGGGGTTGTCCAGGAGTCCCTTCCTCAGCTCCTTCCCCTCCAGTGGTCAGCCCCATCTGCCCTGAGTAGCCCTCTTTTATACCCCCAGCAACGGGATTATGCCCAGCAGGCTATAGGGGGTGTGGCCTCTCTGGCCCTCAGAGTGGAATTAGTCCCTTCTGGCCTAGTGCGGGGGGCGGGGGGAGGGATCTTACCCTGTCACATGACTGTAAAAGCAATTCGCTTTGGAATAAAATGAATACTAATTTTCAAACCAGACAAGTTGTAAATTATTGAGGGGGGAGGGGGAAGAGACTTTTATAATAGAAGGACTCATGGACTTCTGAACTATAATTTTCCTTCATGACCGCGTCCAGGTAGAATCCTGGTATAAGACTGCACGTCCTGCCTTTTGACAACAGAATTCATTTTGTACTTTGAAGCTATGTCTACATTGCACATTCTTGCGCAAGAACATATGCTAATGAGGCACAACGTTGAATATCACCATGCCTCATTTGCATACCTAATGAGCTGCCATTTTTGCGCAAGGGGTTTCTGTGCAAGAAGGAGCAGTCTATACTGCTCCTTCTTGCGCAAAAAACCCCTCTTGCGTGAGCGCAGTATAGACGTAGCTCTAGAGTCTTATGCATGGGGGAAAATATCCTAATCATCTGGTGCCTGCAGTTTCTTCTGAGTCTTCTTAATTGAAGAAGTCCTCAAACTTACCTGAGAATGAGTCTAACCCTCTCCAGGGAAGTTCTCAAGTCCATCAGGACAGGTGTTCTTTGGAGCAGCTAGATCTTCTTCTCAAAAGGTGCACCCCAATCTTTCACAAGAACCCTTTCTGATATTAGAAAAAGAGACAGCATAAGGGAAAACAAGCACCTAATAATATATGCTAATTCTCTGGAGTTAATAGAGATTGATATGAAAGTGGTTTTGATAATGTCCCAGCAATGACAGCTACTTTGGATCACAGGGATCCAAAGATGATAAAACCTAGCTGGAGCCAAGCTGCTGAGATCTGTTGTGGGATCATATGATTTTGAGGTTGGGTCCAAGGCACTTGAATTGGCAGATCCTGGTTGCTCTGGTCCTTTATCTATCCATTTTCAAAGTGGCCTCTACAGAGGGCTCTTAGAATAAAAACAGAGGAACTGCACATTGAGGGCCAAGTCTGGAAAACAAATATTTTGGTGGTTTCTAGAAATGCGGACTTGATGTCTTTGTCCATCTATGAAGTAATCCCAAGATCATTCTTTCGAATTCTTTATTATGATGGTCTTAGGTTATTTCATTCAAATAATACACTTTTGACAGCTAGTATTTTTCCTAAGCTTCATGAATTTCTGGATAAGCTTGATTGGTACACACTTTGGACATTAAGGGTACATCTACTCTGCAACACTATTTCGAAATAACTAGCGCTATTCCAAAATAACTTAGTCCGCAGCAGGAACTTATTTTGAAATAGTGTCAACATACTGTCAAGCTGGTGGACTTCTTACTCCGACTCCTATAAGCCTCATTTACGAGGAGTAAGGGAAGTGGGAGGAAGAGTGCTCTATTTTGAAATAAGTGCTGTGTAGATGCTCCTTATTTCAAAATAAGATATGCAATTGATATAACTCAATTTGTGTAGCTTATTTTGAGTTAAGCCCTGCTGTGTAGATGCATCCTAAGAGGACAGACATTTCAAATGGAAATTGATAGAACAAAGATAGACATTTCAAATGGAAATTGATAGAACAAATATGAATAGCATGACATAAATATAAATATAGACACACACATTACTGTTCATCATCAACTAAATAGTAACTACAGTTTTTCCAGCTCTTTGTAATGAGAGAGTAATCAGATTTAAGAAAGCCATATTTCTCTATTTGAGGAAGGCTTTTATTAGACTTAGCAAATGGGTGCTAAAGCTTACAAACTCTTTGGTTGGCACAGCTGCTCAGACTGATTCCCCCCCTTTTCCCTTTTTAAACTAAATTTGTAAATGATTTCAGAGACTCTTTGTGTCTAAATGACCTAAATCTTCATTCTAAATATAAAAATGGTGTACATTTTTAAGCTGTACTTTTATGTATTAGAACATACAGTGTGCCAGTGCCTAGTCATTTGCCACATGTCTGTGTTTTGCTTTGAATGATGAGCAGGTACTGGATATTTAAATTCAGTGCATTTAAATTTACCTTTGTTATGCACACTCCCCAAAAACCTATGGTCCTTTAATTTAAAGGCTCAAAAATGTAGGACAACCAGCATTTTTGCCAGGCTACAGAATTTCTGTGTATTGGTATTTGCATGTAAAGCACTGACATTGTCAAAGGTAACCGGACAATAGCTATCCCCTTGAGTTTTTTCATTGTCCTTGCCTTTAGGATGCTGGCAATCACTGGAAGTGGTTTATTACATAAAGCCTATTTCTCTCATCTTTAATTCTGTACTGCTGTGCTTTCATATGACGGGGTGGGGTGGGGGGAGGAACTGTTAGTAAACACCACTGTTAGTAAATACCACTAGTAGTTTAACAGATCTGCCATGAAATAAACAATGTGATTATTTCCAGGGTAAAAGACTTCCTTGTAGATTAGTGTGTGTGCTGATTGTGGATTTGATTGTGATTTGGACTCTGAAGACAATGAAGGATCCTTGTAATTCTATTTTCTTTCTTATCTAATGAGGGGTTTTTTTTTTACGGGGAGTATATCAAAAATGCTGTCCTCCTCTGTATTGTATTTGTATACTTCCTGAAGAGCCAGTTCTGTAGTGGGAATGAGAATGTCTTTAGCAACTTCCAGTTATTGGAAAATTCATGTTTCAAGTACACATGTTTTCATTTTTGTGTTTTTAGGATACTTGTTGTAGTCTTGCAAGAGAAAATTGCTGCCTTCGACAGCTGTACATTCACAAAAAAATTCTTCGTTACAAGTATGTATGATATTGGATTCCATTTCTGTGCTCTGGTAAATAGCTGTAGTGCCATAAAACAGACTTGGAGTTGTCAACAGAATCAAATTGCAAGTTAAAAAACCACATTGCAGTGCATGTTGATCCCTAAAGGCCTGTTGTTTCATCCCAAAAATGCTAAGTGTCTGCAGCTCTCAGTGACTTTGTTGAGAGGTGCAAGTGCTCTCTTACCTCCCAGAATCAAGTTCCATTCATTACCTCTGTGAATTTGTATAGTTTTGCATATTTGTCATCATAGCTAAACTCTCCTGTATAGTGAAAAGTACTTTTATTGATGATACTTCTATTATTAGTTTGTTAAAAGCTTCTGTGATTATACTCTAGGTGCTCTGTGTTTCCAGCTGTAGAATTTGTGTAATCATCTATTTGAAAATGTGACATACAGTTCCAGTGGTCTTGTCAACTCTTTCTGGCTGTTCTTGATCTGCAGTCCCAGATCTGTTTTTCATTATTATAGATATTTATATTGTGGTAGCTCCTAAACAATAATGAGGTCAGGACTACACTGTGTACTCCTGAGTGAATTCTGCACCACTTGCGCAATGCAGAATTTTGCAGAAATTAAGATTGCGCATACAGAATTTCCTCCCCCCTCCCTCAGACATTGGCTCCAGTGCTTCCCCCAGCTCAGGGAGCGGTTCACACATAGAAGATGGTGGGAGAGGGAAGAAGCTGGAGGGTTTCTGGCAGCTGCAGTTCCCCGCATGCCTTGAGGGCCAAACACTAAGAAAAATTAAAGTTTTCAAGCTCAGTCCAGAGGGAGGGTTAAAAAAGCTTGAGGAAGAGCCACAGGAAGCAATTCCCAAATGCGCCTTCCTGGGTTCTCAAAGGGGCTTTTGCGTTTGGGAGAAGATGGTGGGAGAGGGAAGAAGCTGGAGGGTTTCTGGCAGCTGCAGTTCCCCGCATGCCTTGAGGGCCAAACACTAAGAAAAATTAAAGTTTTCAAGCTCAGTCCAGAGGGAGGGTTAAAAAAGCTTGAGGAAGAGCCACAGGAAGCAATTCCCAAATGCGCCTTCCTGGGTTCTCAAAGGGGCTTTTGCGTTTGGGTGGTGGTAGTGGTACCAATCCAAGGCCAGGGAATGTATAACCTTGGGGAATTTTTAAACATAAGTCTCTAGTGACTGTGGAGAGCAGCCTTGACAGACCCCTTCCCTAATACACTCCCCTTGTTCTCTCTCTCAGAGCCCAGCCATGGCCTCTGTAGACCAGACACCCATCCTTATACCCCTCAGAGGCTAGGGACCAAGAGGGAAATACAGCCTGATGCTAGTTCTGGGCTTGTACAGTATCTCCTACACCACACCACACCACAGGGGCCCTACAGCTGAACTCTGGGGGTGAAGGGGAAAAGTGTTTGGGCAAAGGGAGCTCTGGCTGGGTTCCGGGAAGGGGGAGGGGGAGATCGGGTATCAGGGCTATGTGGGGGATAATACCTTGTGGTATTATCGTCTGTGAAGGATTGGTGTGGGAGCACTGTGGCTGGGCTTTGAGGCTATGTCTACACTATAAGATTATTTCGAAATAAGTTAGTTCAAAATAATAACTCCTGAAATAACTATTTTGAAATAAGCTTATTCCCCAAGGAAAAAGGAGTTGTTGTTTCAAAATAATCAGCCCCTTATTTTGAAATAACAGGCTTGGTAGTGTGGACGCTCACCTTGTTATTTCGAAATATGAGGAGTTCTTTCAAAATGACTCCCCAGTATAGACATGCCCTGAGTGGGGAGGGTGTGTATGTGTCCGGTCCCTTGGCTGGGCTCTGAGGGGATGGAGGGACAGAAAGAGGAACTGGGTTGTTATATGGGGTTTCTTTAACTGTCTCCCTCCAGTGAATTTTTTTGTGCCTGTATTTGTTACCGACATACTTGCTGATGGGTATTTTGAAATAAATTACCAAAATAATTGAAACTGATGTGATTATTTAGGGTTATTTTGACAGAATATGCAGAAATTTTGCAGAATTTTAATAGAACGTGTGCAGAATTTTTAATATTTTGATGCAGAATTTTCCCAGGTGTGACTGTGCTAGGAATGGGCATATCTGCCCACAGGTGTTGCTACCTGCTGAATTAGTAACTCAGACTCTGGGTATAAGCTTGGAAAAGTTGTTGGCTACTGGCATTTTTTTCCTAATGTTGCAGATGCCTTTTATGCTGTTTTTAATTCTACACATTGATGATTGATCCTAACTGATAAGGAAGCCCCCAGAAACACTCCTCTAGGAGGATCTATGTGTCTGACACTGGTATCTCTACTAGAGTAATTCATAGGCTAGTTGGAAAGACAGAGTATCTCTGCTGATGTGGCTCCTGATTTGTCTGTGGAGGTTATTAAAAATAATACCTAGTACGCTTGGCCCGAAGACTGAACATATCACACATGTATGTAATTTCTCCAGTGCACTGATGAAGAGAGTTTGGTTTATTCCCTAGGATGGCATCTTCTTCACTGATGTTTCTAGCTCCCGCTTGTACTATAATTACTGTATTGGTGGGGGTGTTCTCTGTTTAAAAGGAAAATCTTAAAGTATGCATGGAATTCAAATGAAGAAAATGCTTCCTTTTTAAGTACCTGTATAGCAAAAAATTCTCCCTTCCCTTTATTGAAAAATATCCATATATTTAGAACGGTTTCTTCTTATGTTGAGGAAAAGGACTATTATGCAGTAATATTAAAGTTGCCAATAGGTGTCAGTTTCTTCCTACATGATGGACATACCAGGTTCATCGGAATCTACTAGCATTCACTAAATAGAACTTCATGTAAATGGGCTTTGATTTCAGGTGTTTGTTATGGTTCATTTTTATATTTTCTAGAATATTACTTTTGGTAATTTTGTCTTCATTTAGTTCAGATTTTTCTCATGAGAAAACAGGAATTGATGGAAATTTGTTTTCATAAGTTAATAGAATGGTATTAAACCATAGAAAAATACTCCATAGTATTCAGCATAGGAACATATTCCTGATTTTGAAAAATAATGCAGTTGACAACAAAACAATTGTTATGTAATGTTAAACTTTCTGAAAGTGCCTGAGAAAGTAATATTTTGTTTCTAGGAAGAAAAAAATGGAACAGCATAAACCCCTACATCTCTATTTAATATTTTCATTGTGATTTATGATCTTGTTATATGCGCATACAATATATGCATAACTAGTACATGCTTATAATGGTTTCTTTATGTTGAACTTGAATTTTTAAAGCTGTATTTTTAATAAAAGGTAAGGTGTAATGAGAACTTTTTGAGGTGGTTTCAAACTGATAAACTTGCTGCTCTACTAAAAAAGATAATGTGATTATGATAATGTTCCTAGCATTTTAGAGATATGAAGTGGATGAGGTAATGTCTTTTATTGGGCCAACTTTTGCTTGTCTATTGAATCAGTTTTGCTTGATAAAAGAAAAGATACTAGCTCACCCAAATTGTCTTTGTTATCCTGAAATAGCATTTTGCATATCTTAACAGCACGCCCATTATTTTGAAATACATATGAAATAATGGGCTTCTTAGTCCCACTTCCTGTAAACCTCATTGCACAAGGATTAAGGAAGATGTTGGAATAGCGATTTATTTCAAAATTAGAGCTGTGTAGACCGCCAAATTTCAAAATAAGCTATTTTGAAATAGAGCTATGCAATATTTCAAGGTGCGCGCTACTGTGTAGACGTACCCTCAGAATATGTGTGGTAGCAATTTCTCATATTTTGTCTTAAATTATTCTGCACAGCTATAAATTATTTGGAAATGGCAAATGTTACTTAGCCATTGGATGCATTAAATACTGCTTTAATTTTCACTGCATTTTCAAAGCTGATGTGCCAGACCTATTTTGTCATGAAGAGTGGAGAGAAAAATAAGAGTTTTTGTGAATGTTAGAGCTACTGGATATCAACATTTTTGAAGCCTCAGTATAAAAAGTAATTTCTCAATATATTAGTGGCTTATAATAAACTTATATTCCATACATTTTGGCTTTTTAATGTGAAATTTATAAAGTTTTTCACATCCTTCATTGTACCTGAATGAACTTTTTTGGTGCTGTGCAGTCTTTTTTTTATATACCGCTAGTTATGCTGAAGTACTCTGAAATGGGGCTTAAAAGCTCTTTTCTCTTAATAGTGCTATATTTAGTTTTATGCTTATTATATTTATGCTTATTATTATGCAGCAGATACAGTGCCTTGCCATGGTTTAAGGCCACAGAACAGTTTTAATTATAACCTTCAGTTTTCACATGCACTCAAATGCCAGAAATTTTTTTGGGGTCGACACTTTTGACAGGTAGGTTTTCAGATGCAAAAAAGTGAGAGGTACCTAGCTAACGTCAACTGAATTTTGAAGGGAGTTAGATACCTATCTCTTTGGTCTGTTCGTGGGATTTTGTTTTTTAGAAAGTTTGATCATAATCTTTTAAGCCTTTGTTGAGTTTAGGAAAGAGAAGGGAAATACTTCCCCTTTCATAAAATGTCTGAACCACACTGTTAAATAAAGGGCAACAGAAGGCATGGGTAAAGTTTTGGAACTTGCTAGTGGAGAAAGACCACAATGAGGACTAGCACCTTGGGTTGGTTTGAAGGGAAAAATAAAAACATCTATTATTAGGAAATCACTAATGGGCGTGCACAATGGGCATTTAAGAAATTAATGAAGCAGGGCCAAATTCTGAGCAGTGCCTCTCAGGAGGTGCCACCCAGGAATGGGTGGGAGCCAGGTAGAGATGGGCTTTAAGCCACCTTTGCATTTTCTGAATTGGAGCAGCCATGCACTGCAGTGCTGTGCTCCAGCCACATCTTTTTGTACCACTGGCCTCCACACCACTGATATTCCTCTGCCATTTGGGTGGGCAGAATGAGAACAGCATAGGGCTGCTTGGAGAATCTCCCTTTATTAGGAAAATTCAAAGTAAAGGAACCTCACTGTGAACGGGCTGCTTTATACTGAAGGAGAGGCATAATGG